TACCACATATGAAGTAATAATATTACTATATTATAGTACCTACTATCTTAATTCGTAGTACCACACCATTGAGGTGTGTAAAAATGTGTGTAAAATTGTCATACCCCCTAACTATTTTTATTTGCATAATTTTATAATATTTTTATTGTAAATTATATTAATTGTTATGACAATTTTTATTTATTCTAGAAATCGTTATTCTAGAGGAATGCATCTTTAAGATTTATTGATAACTACTTAATATTAAGTTTCAATAGATCTTAACACGTTCACGGCCACGTGTCACATATATGTGACATGTGTGTTTGTTCTGAGAGACCGGTGTCACATATGTGTGACACGGTCATTATGATGTTTAATAGAGAATTATTTACTCCGGTTTATCCTAACAAATATTATTTGTGTCGTGGTTTAATTATACGTTATCTGAGGAATTGATTTATATAGTTGGTTTAAAAATTGGCCGATAGATGGAGCTGTTATTCTTTTATTGTTATTGTACGATATTTATCATATTTTGGTTTGAAATGCACTATCTTAGCACATGTTCGACTCGTAATCTATCGTTATCAAACGTAATTAATTATTATTAATTATTTTCACATAAAATGTAAATTAACATAATAGAATAAATTCATAATTTTAAAAATTATATGTTAACTATGGATCCTGCCGCTATTAATGAATTATTATATGCCAGTTCAGACGATGAAAGTTTTAGCGAAAAAATACTGCTTTTGTTTGTGATACATGCAAGGACGATAAAGGGAACACAATCGGTTTATGTCCTGATCCTTGTTTCAAAATTTATCATTTATAATTAGACGTTACTAAAATTATTTTTAGTTTGTTTTAAAAAGTAGTTTTGTAATTATTTTTTTTTTTGAGATTTTTTTACTATAATAGTTCTTTGGAACTAAAATCTTTAACTCATTGTTATTTTTAACCAAAATTTTGTTTTATTTTATAATTTTGTTAAACTTTGGTGATTCATTCGTGATAACTTTGTTTTTATACATTTTATTGTCATATAAATATTTAAAATTTGTTTGGTAAAAATATGTTTTTATAACTTTTGATTTTAATAACAAATGGTCTGTTTTGTTAATTTTATTATTATTTTGCTTTGATTTTATTTCAAATAATGTTAACTGTTATTTATTATTTTACAAGAAGTAATTTGTTTAATTTTTTTATAAATTTTGTTTATACATTGATGTTGAGTTGTTTGTATTAAGTTTAACATTTGTTAATTTTGGTGTTTTTTATAAATATAATTTTGACTTTATTTTGAGATGTACCAGCTGATGATTTCTTGACAAGTAATGATATTTGAATCATTTTATATTTGCGTTAATTCATTGGAGATGATTTTCGTATAATTTTTTTGTCTAAAAACTTATTCACCAAAAAAATACCTATTATAATATTATGCAATGGTGATTACTGATTCTTCTATAGAAAAATAATGATGTCACATATGTGTGACATCAGGTTTCTGTAAAGGATAACCACTGAAAAAACCTGATGTCACACATATGTGACATGTCTTTAATATCCGAAAATACTTTATAAATAATATATCAATATATATCAGTTTTTCTTTTATAGAACTATCATTAGCCTTAACTCTTTGCCAAGCCTGTTCTTCCAATAACTTATCAGCTTTATGTCTAATATCTAAGTTATTACTGTTTTCATAAGCAATGTCATGTGTTCGACAAGCAGAGTCTAACGGATTAATTCCTTTATCTCCTCTAGCTAATCTCTCTTTTAACTTGGTACCAGGTCCGCAATAACTATACCCAGGTATATGAGCTTCGAATGGAAGTCTATTTATTACAGAATTTAACAAACTTTTACCAGTCTTAACCTTCCGAGTTGGATGCATTATATATAACTGATTTTATATTTTTAAAATTACAAGGTATTTATATAGAAAATGAGGTTAATTGAACAAAAAGACAAATTAAACATTGAAAATGTAGATATGCATGTTGTTAAACAACCGTCAAGACATGGACCGTTATTACCGGATAGTATACGTGGAATATTTGTAGGACCTTCAGGATCGGGGAAAACAAATGTTATGTTTAATCTTATTACTCATAAAAATGGGTTAAAATTCGAAAACATTTATTTATACTCTAAAACACCAGATCAGGAAAAATATTTGTTATTAAGAAATATGATTGACAGCATTAAAGGTGTTCATTTTTATATGTTTTCGGATGCAACGCAGGTTATAAAACCAAATTTAATTAAAAAAAATTCAATTTTTATATTTGATGATGTAATTTGTGACAATCAAACACCTATTCGTGAATATTTCAGTATGGGAAGACATTCTGGTGCTAATTCTATATTTTATTTAGCACAAACATACTCAAAAATACCAAAACAGCTAGTGAGAGACAACGCAAACTTTTTAGTGATATTTAAGCAAGATGATAAGAATCTACGACATATTTTCGATGACCATTGTTCTGCAGATATGGATTTTTCAGAATTTCGTAAAATATGTCATTTATGTTGGAACAAAAAAAATTATGGGTTTATAGTTATTGATAAAACTCGTGAAATGAATCAGGGAAGATATAGATATGGTTTTCACACATTTATAAATATGAAATAATTAGTATATAAGAAATAAGTAGCTTTAGTAACATTCAGTCGGTTGTACATACATAGAATTTAAAATATATGTAAATCATGAGCGGAGAAAAATCTTTGTTAAATAATTTAATACTATGTAAAAAAAATATTAAACGTAAAGTAATGGATATAAAACGTAACGTTATAGAATCCGATAATTATTTTCGTGAAACATTTAAACCAATTCTTGAACCATTGAATATGCTATCAAAGAAAAATGTAACTAATGTCTCAAATGATTCTTCAACTGATCATATAAATACAGAAGTACATTACTCTAGTGATCAAGAAGACGATGATGCGTTATTAAATACAAAATTTAATAATTTTTTTAACACACGACCACAATCACGACGTTATAATAAATCATATGGTTTACATTATGATAGAGCTAATGATCAGCTAAAAATATCGAATTTTCCTGTTTCTTTTAGTCATGGTAACTTACACTTACTCGATAGTTACTATCCTTGGACTATTGGTCTTTGGTCTTTATTATGTGAAAAGGAACCTAAAAATACTACTATAGAAGATATGGAAGCATATTATGATATTTTGAAAACTACTAAAGTTCATTTAAAGCCTGACGGAAAACCAAAGACTTCGCGATTCTTTAAATGGATGAACGTTGTACGACCGCTATATGATAGAATGAAAACGGAGGAAAAACAGTTAAGCGCGAAAATAGCAAATATTAATAATTCTAGAGAAAAAACTAACTTAAATTTAAAACCGTTTGATGACTATTTAGTTAGTGTAAATGCTAAACGAAGTAAAATTAATGATAACACAACAATAGCAAATAAATCATTTAATTTTGATTCTACAGTAGACAGTCCGAAATTTGAGGAACCTCTAACTGATAAATTATTTAAGTTTAGTTTATCTCCACCAGTTAAAAAGGGTTCAGGTTTATATAAAAACGTGTTTCCTAATACACAGCTAGTTTATTACGATGATCCAAATGAATTAGTGACAAGATTAAATCTTTTAATAGCTTCTCAGTCTGCTGGGAATACTGGTGTTAATAATGAAATTATTTCTATATTAGAAGAATTACGTGAGAGAAATCTAATAGTATAATGTCTGTATTAGAAGGTATTGCAAATGAGTTACATCGACCAGCAAGAAAAATTTTTCCTCGACGGTTTGTCATAACAAGATTTAAAGATGATCTTTGGCAGGCTGACCTAATGGATATGCAGTTACATTCTAAAAAAAATAATGGATTTAAATATATTCTTATTGTTATAGATACTTTTACAAAGTATGTGTGGGTGCAAGCTTTAAAAAATAAAAGTGCAAAAGATGTTACATTAGGTATGAGTAAAATATTAAAATTAAATCAACCTAAGTTATTGCAAACAGATAATGGGACTGAATTTTATAATAAAGAGTTTCAAATTCTTATGAAAAAGTTTAATATCAAACACTATTCAACATACACTAGTATAAAAGCTGGAATGGTCGAACGCGTTATAAGGACATTAAAAAATAAAATCTATAAACATTTTACAGCAACAGGTTCTTGGAATTGGTATAATTCAATATCAAAATTAATAAACAGTTATAATAATTCATTTCACACTACAATTAAATGTTCACCTCATGAAGCTCGAACAAAATCCATAAAATTAAAATTTAATCAAGAAAAACCTAGAAAATCGAAGTTTAAAATAAATGATAAAGTTAGGATTTCAAAATACAAACATGCTTTCGCTAAGGGTTATACACCGAATTGGACTACAGAAGTGTTTCAAATTGCAAATGTATTACCGACCAATCCGGTAACATATAAATTAAAAGATTTAGCAAATAATATAATAGTAGGTTGTTTTTATGAACAAGAAATTCAAAAGACCAAATATCCGAACACGTTTCTAATTGAACGTGTTATAAAAAAAAAATAAAAATAAAATTCTGGTTAAATGGTTAGGGTTCGACTCAAGTCATAACTCTTATATCGACTCTAAAGATATTTCAAAATAAAATGTTAAATTGAAAAAATTATAAAAATGTTAAATTGGGAAAAATATAGTTCTAAAATAAGGTAAATTTACCGTGGTAAAATTAAATGAAAGAAGCCAAAATCGTTGTTAAAAAAGAAGCCAAATCTCGTAAATTTTACCGTGGTAAAATTGAATGAAAGAAGCCAAAATCGTTGTTAAAAAAGAAGCCAAATCTCGTAAATTTACCGTGGTAAAATTAAATGAAAGAAGCCAAAATCGTTGTTAAAAAAGAAGCCAAATCTCGTAAATTTTACCGTGGTAAAATTGAATGAAAGAAGCCAAAATCGTTGTTAAAAAAGAAGCCAAATCTCGTAAATTTTACCGTGGTAAAATTAAATGAAAGAAGCCAAAATCGTTGTTAAAAAAGAAGCCAAATCTCGTAAATTTACCGCAGCAAAACTACCTCGAAAAAAAAAAACTGAAAAAACCATGGTTGGAAGCCCCATAATACTACTACTTGAAGGTAAAATTAATCTATGATTTTTTTTCACATAAAGCATAATTTAAATGAAAAACAAAATAAAATTATATTTATAATTTATGTAGAAATATAGAATTTGATTAAATAATAAATTAAATATATTTTTCAGGAAAAAAGGAAGGGAATGTCCATAAACTTATTCTAGATGTGAAAACAAGATGGAACAGCACCTTTTATATGATTGATAGATTTTTAGTATTGTCTAAACTCGTTTCCGATGTCCTTCTACAAAAACCATTAGGTCCTGAAATGTTCACAGCAAGAGAGCTACAACAATTGCGTGAAACGATAAAATTACTACGGCCATTTGAGAAAGTGACTCTAGAAATATCCAGTGAAAAATATGTTGTTATCAGTAAAATTATGCCCCTTTTGAATTGTGTTACCATTGAGATAGAGTCAATACAACCTAACTTAGATATTGGAATTGAACTAAAAAGAAACATTATCGCAGAATTGAAAAAACGGTTTGGTAAAATTGAATTTTTATATATGATTCCTATAGCTACAATTTTAGACCCTTGGTTTAAAAATTTGCACTTCAGAGATCCTGTAGCCTGTCAAAAAGCCATAGCAGAGGTAAAAAAGTTAGCAAAAAATTCAGTACAGGACACAAGTTCAACTGAATGTTCAAGTATGGACGAAGAACAGAAAACTGATAATTTTGATTTATGGGAACACCACAAAACATTGGTACATAAGAAATATAAGAAGAAACAAACAAGAACAGATTCAGCCAAAACGACCAATGTAAATGCCTACCTATCGCAGCCTTTAATTTCTCTAAAAGAAGATCCAATCCAATGCTGGGAAGAAATGAAAACAGTATATCCGGATTTATATATACTTGCTCGGAAATATTTGTCTGTCATGGATTCATCTGTTCCTTCAGAAAAATTATTTTCAAAGGCCAGTTTAACGCTTTCAAAGTCAAGGAATAAACTTTTAGGAAAGAGATTGAGTAAATTACTATTTTTAAATTCAGTTGATGATTTTTGGTTCCATACTTCATAAGTTTTAATTTTGCTTCATATTTTTTGTATTTAGTTTTAAATAATATTTAAAAAAATATATATTGTTAAAATAAAGGAATACATTTATTTTTATTATAATATTATATATATAGGCGTATACTGTAATATATAAAAATTTCAATTATAATTTATTAACATTGTTCTGGTATGATAAATATTATAATATAAAATATTTTATAATTTTGTTGAGTATACATGCTTTGATTAATTAGTTTATTTATCATCAATCTGATTGTAAGTATAGATTACAATTTACAAATTACAAGTTAGGGCCTCGGTCTATGGGCTATGGGCGAAATGGCTATACATTTTCTAAAATAAATTATAACCCTTTTTTAGTATTAGAAATTTTTTTTCGATATATATCGATATCGATATATCGGTAAAATAGTGTTAGATATATCGTAGTATCGATATTGGGTATACAATGTATCGAAATTACCATATATCGATGGTCAACGATTTTTTGCCATCCCTAATCAGGCGCAATGTAATGAACCACAAATACAAATGATAATCACCAACGAGGTGGTGTAAAAAAAGAAATCGTGTAATCGGTTTTGTATGTACGATGACGATATATGAAAAAAATGGCGATGCGAAATTTTGGAGAGTTGACGAACAACAGTCCGTTGTTCCGATGACACTTGCCTCCGGCGGAGCCGATGCTCCGCTTTCCCCGCTCATGTAGGAAGGTGCGGGGTGCGACGCATCGGTATCGCGATCCGTGAACTGTCGGCTGATTAGGAGACTATAAATGCGGTCGGCGGCGTCCGTTGTAATAACGGCCGTCGCCAGTGTAACAGATGATTATTACCCTCCCCAACATTCTTACCGGGGGTGTAATAATCGCCTGAGGTAATAATCACTTACAGCAACAAGCGATTATTACCCCCCTTAAGGTTGAGCCCCGGGGGGGGATAACGAGGGTGTCATATACTAATAACCTCTCCATGACCTACTTTTTATGCTTATGTGCCTATTATAAGGATTCAGCATTTTTGATTAAAAATGTGTTAAAGAAAAAAACAGTAATTTATTACCAACACTTCTGAAATTAACTCAATTGTTTTAAGATTGTTCAAAATATAAATATAATAAAATAAGTTAGGTGATAAATTATATAATTGAACATTCATAACTACATCATAGTATACATTATTGATGTTCCTTTTGTAAGTGCACTTTTCACTCATCATTATTTTTTCTTTAAGTCCATATATTTGTTAAATATTTGCCACTTATTCGTTAATGTAGAAAAAACATAAATTGATGTCTTTAGTAAGAAAGCAGCAGCAAATATTTCGACATTAGATCTCCATACACCTAAAAATCAGAATTGTTTATTATAATTTTTCAAGTTGTGTAGGTTTAGTAATTATATCATTTTATAGTAAATAATTTTAATACTAACCGTCACTTTCTATATTTTTTTCAAGATATTGAAGAAGTTTATTCTTCCCACCAACATACTTTTCAATGCTCTCATTTGATTTCACTACCTAAAATAATATATATATAATAAAATTAAAATAACTCATATCTTATAAATATATTGTGTTCAAGAAAAATGTTTATTATTTTAAAATTATGTTGAAATCTATTTATCGGATTTATTTTGATTAAAACAAAAAACAATTTTTAATTTTACTCTTCTTAACTACACATGAGTTAAGCTTATTTTCCTAGATCCCTTAAATAATTATTTTATTTTTATAACAAGCTAGGAAGTAGGTACCATTATTTTTATTTTACATACTCTAAAGTTTGCATAAAAAATATTTTTATTATTACTGTCTTATTACACTAAGATTTTGTTTATTTTTTAAAAACTCTATTGTCTTATTATGTTTACATAATATATAAAGTCATTAAAAATCAATTTTACTTTTTTACCATAATTAATTTTAACTTAATCATTGAAATAATTTTTTTTGTTATGCCTATTAACATAATTTCTATAACTATAAAATCAAAAATACACATGTATTGCCAGAGTAAATAGATACTATTTCATATGGACCTTTCCACGGTATTTGACGCCAACCACCTTTCCGATCATCCCTACACAAGTTTCTAACGAAAACTTTATCACCTTGGAAAATGTGACCCGTGTTATGGCGTTTAGAATAAGAATAACGTTGACGTGTTTGTGCTTCATCTATATTTTTTTTTGCTTTATCTTCCATCACATTTCTCATAACGATCATTTGATTTAATGTATTTTTAAATGTTTCTTGATCAAATAAATCCAAATCGTTATCTTCATGATCTCAGCCATACTGATTACTATTGTTTGTTACAGAATATTTATCTGTATCGTCATAATTAATATCAATAGGTAGCGTAGCATAACGTTGATACAACATTTTAAATTTCGTGTATTCAGTGGAAGAATGTTGTGTCGTTCTATGTGCAAATAAGACACTCTGTAAAATATATGGCCATTGCAATACATTCTCCTGCAATACTTTCAACAAGTAATTTTTAATTGTACGGTTTTGACATTCAACCGTTGGCTTGCGGATGATACGCCAATGTAACTTGTTGTTCAGTTCCTGTGAGTCGAAATAGCTCGTCGTTCAAGTTATTTACAAATTCTCTTCCCTGGTCACTAATTTGTATTTTTGGATAACCATGGCGGCATATTATTTCATCATACAAAAA